TCCTGAAGCTGGATCTGGCACAGGACACCTGCAGACAGGAAGAGTCAATTCTGTCAATCACATGTTGTCACATCCCCTCATGGACACATGTATGAAATGGTCACACTCACCAGGAAGGGCTGTCACCAGGTACAGAAGACCCAACAGTCTCATCTTCTAGGCTACACCCTCTTTTCTCAGAGGTCAGCCTCCTGTGAGAGAGATGTGAGCTCCCACAGCTCAGGAAGGGATTTAACTTAGAGCTAGAAGATGCATTTGCATGTGGGGAGTCAGCCTTGTCCTTATAAAAGAGGAGGGTGGATACCACTCCATTTCCTCATTACAATATTGACATCATTGCCTCTGACTTCCTACAGTGTGAGTCTGGAAGAGAGAGCATGGGGACTGCAGGGATCACAGGAAACACATCTTGTCACGACCCCACCTCACTTCCTATCCAAACCTCACCACAAAATTCTTCTCTCCTGTATTTTTCCTTTTCCTTGATTCTTTTATTTCTTTTTATATATTTTTATTTGAGTTTGTTTCACATGATAATCCCAAATTTTCTCCCCCTACCCTCCTTTCCTGCCCCCCCCACCTACTGCTATCCCAGCTCCTTTCTACTCCCCAAGGAGGGTGACCCCTTCCATGTGGGATCTTCAATGTCTGTCCTATCATTTGGAGAAGGGCCTAGGCCCTCCCCCTGTGTCTAGCCTGAGAGAGTATTTCTCTGTGTGGAATGGGCTCCCAAAGTCAATCTGTAAACTGGGGATTAATACTTATCCACTGCTACAGGCACCATAGACTGCCCAGGCCTCCTCACTGACCTTCTCATTCAGGGGATCTGGAACAGACTATGCTAGTTTCCCAGCTATCAGTCTGGGGGCCTGAGCTCCCCCTTGTTTATGTCAAGGGTTTCTGTGGGTTTCACTAGCCTTGTCTTGAGCCCTTTGCTCATCACTCCTCCCTGTCTGCAACTGGATTCCAGTTCAGCTCAGTGTTTATCAGTGGGTGTCTGAGTCCATCACCTATGAGATGAAGGCTCTAGGATGGCATATAAGGTAGTCATCAATCGCATTATAGGCGAAGGGCATTTAAGTTAGCCTCTCCTCTATGCTTAGATTGTTATTTAGTGTCATCCTGATCAATCTCTAAATATTTCTCTAGTGCCAGATTTCTCTTTAAACATATAATGACTCCCTCTATTGTGGTATCATTTATTTCTTAACATTATATGATTTTTAATTTTATTCATTTTATGTAGTAATTTGTTTTGTACATTCCAATCCCTGTTTCCCCTCCCACACATCTCCCACCTCTAATCCTTTCCTCTGAGAGGGTAAGTCATCCCCTTGGAATTCTACTAAATGTGTCCCATGATATTATTGAGACCGGAACAAGGCTCCTCCCCACCACCCTGCACCTCTGTGTCTAGGATGGGCAAGGTATCTCTCCGTATAGAATGGGCTCTAATAAGTCAGTTTGTGCATTAGAGTTAGATCTTGGAATCCCCCTGCCAGTGGCCTCATATATTTTCCCAGCTGCACCATTGTCACCTTTATGAGGAAATCTAGTTCTGTTTTTTGTAGGTTCCACATTTCTCAGACCAGAGTCACTGATCTCTCACTAACTCTGGGCATCTGATACTGTGGGTTTCCCCATCATGGCCTTGATTCCTTTGTTCTTGTTATCTCTCCTTCCTCACTTTGACTGTACTCCAGGAGCTCTGCCCAATGGTTGCTTGTAGATTTCAACATCTGATTCCATCTCTAGAAGAGGGTTCTAACTCCTGAGTTTGTGACTGTAGGCTGTGTGTCTTTTGCTTTATGTCTGGTAACCATTTATGAGTAAGTAACACAGAATTTGTCTTTCTTGGCATGGGTTACCTCACTCAGGATGTGATGTTTTTCTACTTCTTTCCATTAGTCTGAAAATTTAGGATGTCTTTGTTTCTTAGCACTGAGTAGTGTTCCAGTGTGTAAATGCACCACCATTACTTTATCTATTTTTCAGTTGAGGGCCATCTATGTTGTTTCCAATTTCTGGCTTTTATGAATACTATTACCATTAACATAGTTGTTGCTCCTGTATTTTTAAAGCACAGGTCAGTGCTAACTTATTTTCACACTTGGTTTCCCCAGTTCCTGGTTAGTTCTTAAGAAGCCCACAATGTTTAAGTTTTTATTTCCTTTTACATCTATGTGATGGGATTCCTTCTTTCCCAGAAAGTAATCTCACTGTCATATTGTTGAATCACACCTACTTCTTGCTGCATCCATCCAGTGGAATGTAGAGCAATCGCCTGCTGGTAGAATCAACTGCATCCCATACTCCCTCCTCCCTCCTCTACCCCCAAGTCCTCCCCACCCATATGCTTCACCTTTCTGTCTTTTGAAAACAAACACAACTCTAGTGAATAAAATGAAGTAAAATGAGATCAAAGAAAAACAATCACATTGGAACAGGACAAAACAAACAAACAAACAAAACTGAAGGAAAAGAGCCCAAGGAATGGCACAAGAAACAGGTGTGGATGCAGAGACGACCTCATTTACATGCTCAGGAATCCCCTAAAAATGCAAAATTAGAGCTGCACTATGTAGGCAAAGGAACTGTAGGATAAAATAAGAGATAAATAGAGAAATGTATAAAATTTCAATAAATCCAGGTGATATCATTACACAGGGAACCTCTCAAATGCATTAGAATTGGGTCCTGATGACATCTGCTGATGGACCTGCAGCCTGTGCTTAGGGTTTCTGGGTTTCCTCGTTTAGACTCCTTTAGAGAAATCCCATTTTTCATTTGAAAGATGTTATAATTGGAGATAGATTCCGGTTACATGTACACTTCTCCTTTCTGCTCTAGAACCCCATCTACTGTCAACCCACTAAGGTCCTAGTTTTCTACTGTGAGAGGTACTCTTGGTAATTGAGAGGATTTGAACTGTGTCATTTCTGTAATTGTAGCATTCTCAGGAGTGACATAAATTCTAGGAATTAACTGGCCTTGTATCCTCCTAGGGGAGGGTTCTAACTGCCACCAGAGATGTTCTCTTTGACCTTGTATGTGGTTAACTGAGAGGGACACACTTGCTTGACCTTCTGCTCTTACTCCCCAGGCTCTGCATCACTAATTTATTTTGGTTTTCCATTTTGCTGTCTCAAAACAAACACTTTTAGCAGTGTTGTTGTTCATATGCACTGGAAGTAATATTGGACTCTGTCCCCACTTTGTTAACTTTGACATAGCTTGGTCTCCAATTGGTGATTCTCATTCCGTAGGGATTGCTCTTAAATGTTTATAGACAATTTATTCTTTCTCAGCAATCCTGTACAGGTCAGAAGGTTGCCTTGGGAATCTTCTGTGATTAGGATGCCTCAGAGCAGCCATAAGATGGAGTTCTGTGGAGGATCAAAGCTATGTCTACTCTTCAGAAATCGACTCTCTTCCCACAGAAGTCAGCCCTATAAACCTTGCATGGGTCCAGCTAGTTCACACATAACAGCAGCCCTGCATTCATACCAATATTAGTCTTTCTGTTGATGGTTCCCAGAATTCATAATAAAGGGATCCCTCTTTCCTATATATCCTGACACTGAGGTTTATATTAGACCAAGAGAGATCTTCATGATGGTGTTGAAACTTTATTTGTGCAGACCAGAGCAGGTGGGCACTATACCTTGGTGGGCAAGGAAATTCTGTCCACCTTTACTTGGTGCAGGGGACACATCCTGTGTATCCTATGATCTGATGGAAAATGCCCAGAGGATAAGGAAGGACAAGGATGAGCTTCGATGGGAAAGAAATTGGATTTGCTAGCAACAGGGTTTGGTTTACACAGCTTGTTAACCTTATATGAGTTAAAAATGTTTAAGCCAAAGTATCATACTTTTATATTGTTCCTGTTATTGTTGCCTTAATAATTGTTGCCATAATATCAAGACAGAATTACTCCTATTCCTGATATTCAGTGTTTGTACAGTATTATGTATGGACATTTTCATAAGTAATAAAACAAAACAAAGCAAAAAACAACATTCATAGACAGAAATGATTGGGTTCAGACATGACAATGTTATAATAAAGCAAAGAACAATAGATGTCTTAAGTTGTCTTTTCTGCCTCTAAAACAGAAATATTGTGTATGGGAGTGGTACTGTGCACCATACACCAATGTCCAGTCAATTCCAATCAAGGTCTGTCTAGAACTCGTGTCCAAGGAATCCAATTTCAGGAAACAGGAGATTGAGTACATGGGGCTCCTAATAACATGAACAGACGCTTACATTCTCAGCTTGGATTCCCACTGCTCTAGCCCCAATGCTTCCTGAGCCGGAGCCCAAAGTAGCAAATTCCACATCCTGAGGACTCTACAGCATGACAATCAGATTCATCTGTCAGAATAAAACAATATGAAATTGAATTACTACTGCCAAAAATTCAATTAGACTTACTTATAAATAAAAGTCAAATGTTAGATTCATGAGCAAAGGTAAAGTGACTCCCCACAAATACATGGGGACAGCTTCAAAGAAAGTACTTGCTGTGATATCAGATACAGCAAACTGAATTTGTAAGAGGTTTTTGTTTGACCTGATACAGGTGATTTGTATTTTACTGTTCAAATTCATATAATAGTGTATTCCCAGCTACACCAAAAAAGTTCCAGTCTCTTACACTTAAAGGATATTGAATGTACTGACACAGCCTGTCTTTATTTTTGTTTCATTAAAGAAGCATGTCAATGGAGGTAGTCACTGATAAAGATGTGGTCACCATGGTGTATTGTAGGAGCATCTTGAATTAGCATCACATAATTCTCAGACATCCTATGGTTTAGAAAAGTTAACAAAGGCTCTATAGTACTAGGATGAGAACACAGTCACAGAGACACTAAGACTGAATACTCCAAGTATTGCCCGGGCTGATCTTCTCTCTCATATCAGTCCCTGGGCACCTTCTTGCTCCTCCAGGGTTTCTGACACAATCAGGATGTGGTTGCAACACTGTGTGTCTCATGCACAGTAAAAGACCCCACAGTCCTCAGATGTCAGAGTCCTGAGCTCCATGTAGGCTGTGCTGGAGGATGTGTCTGCAGTCAGTGTGGCCTTGCCCTGGAACTTCTGGTTGTACTTTGTATTACCACTTCCAGGAGAAATCCATCCAATCCACTCCAGACCCTGTCCAGGCTTCTGTTTCACCCAGTGCATAGCATAGTCCGTGAAGGTGTAGCCTGAAGCCTTGCAGGACAGCTTCACTGAGGCTCGAGGCTTCACCAGCTCAGCCCCAGACTGCTGCAGCTGGAGCTGGGAGTGGACACCTGTGGAGAGAAAGACAGAGTGGATGTCACTGTCACCTGAGTGCATGGCCCCTCCTCAAGTCTGGAACTTGGAGCCCCTTACTTATAGCTGCTGTCACCAGGAAGAGGATGATCCAGCTCCATCCCATGGTGAGGACCTGTGTGCTCAGTGACTGTGGAGAGGACACTGATCATAAGTTGTTGGTGGTGTGGACATCCCTGTATTTACCACATAGAATCACGTGATTTGCATATTCATGAGCAGGGTGCTTCTTAGATAAGAACCCAGTCCAGCTGGAGAGGAAGGAGGTGGACACCTGGGTCAGTCAGCAGGATGCTGAGGTCCAAATCCTCATCCTCTCTGTGAAAGTAGCCATTCCGGTGATGTGTTCAGACCCTGTAGAAATAGAAATTACACTAAACCTTCAATTATACCCTAATCCTTCAATTCCAGTTATAATCCCAACCAATCATTAGATCATTTACCTGACAAAATTGATTCCAAGGTGGTATAGTAATGAAGATAAATGTCAATGGAAATATCAAAAACTCCTAAATTGGGAGAATTTTCACTTTTCTTTCAAATATAAGATATTAATATTTTCTTTCTCAGTATGATGCATGTGTATGTTTCTGGTGGCTTTTTTTTCTTTTCGTACATCCTTTTCTTTTCTGTATTTGTTTCCTTACTATTGAGAAAAAGAAAGTTTGTGGGGAATTGGTAGTCATATGGAAAATGTCTAAGAGGAGTTAGGTATTGAATCACATCAGAATACATTGCATGAAAATATGTTTTATAAAAATCAAAACTAAATAAGTATTTAAAAATAAATGAGAAAATTTAAAAAGTGTGGATTATTTAACAAGGAATGTTTGTGTGAAAATTGTAGACTTCACATATCATCTCTAGCAGGTGTTGTTCAGCTACCAGACTTTAAGTTGGGAGCCCACAGAGGCTCTGAAGTTCCCTCCAACCACATCTGCTTTGTATCCTAGTGATTAATGCCTCCATTGTGGCCCAGACAATGCGGAAAATCAAGGAAGTTTTATTTTTGCTTTTATTCCATCTGACAGCAAGTGGCAAACAGAAACCTTAGGTGCCCGCGGGAAATAATGGTTTGTTTAGGAGAATGGAAACACGTGGCAATTGTGGTGGAATATGACAGGGCCAAGGGGCTGTAGAAGAGTATTTGAGCAGGAAGAGGAAACCACAAGTTCTAAAATGTGAGCAGACATGCACTTGTTTAAAAGGAAGCCCAGGGTGTCAGTTCAGAACTGGGGACCATCTAGGATTTCTGAGTAGCCTCAGCCGTTCTTAAAGGCCTTGTTCCCAAGCTACTCTGTAGGGAGGTTTGTGTCTGAGTTCACACTGAATTCTCCTCCCATTTGTCTGGCAAAGTAAGTCATGGCAGGTGGTTAATTCAGAAAACTTGGCCATTGGAGGTGTCCCTACCCATGCTGATGCTGGAGTAGTTTACTTCCCAATCACAAACTGGGTCTCCACTAGTCCATAGTATGGTACCTGTGTGCCCTTGACACATTAAAAAAAAATAGTGACTATCAGTATAAACACATGAGGATTTGTTTAATGTGATGCTTTTAATCACAATGCAAATTTAAGTAATGTTTGTACAATAAATCCCAACATTGCACTTGAGTTTCAAAGTCACAACATAGTCTTTGTCCTTCAACCATGCTCATTTGACCTCAGGAAATTCCTGCCCTCTCTTATGGGTGGTAATACAGCTGCAGTGATGTGTGGACTCCAGTCAGTCTATGGCACATTCCTTAGCCACAGGAGCAACTGCTTCCTGTCAGTACTCTAGGAAGTGCTACGGCATGCAGATGTATCAGAGAGGGAAGGAACGGAGAATCGAAGATAGAATTGACTCTTTTAATGGGACAACTACAGCAATGCCAAGGTAAGCTGCCTTTCAAAACGATGGTTTCATTAAAAGAAAAATCCTCAAACCACAAAGATGGCTCAGCTGGCAAATGCCGGAACCACAAAGGGATAAGAAATGCTACTGCGCACCCGGTGTCCAGACTCACAGTGAGAAACAAACAAATGTTTGTTTTACAAAGGCACAGCGTCTCAGAATCAGGGAGAGAAAACACCTTCTGTGTTCTCTGTGCTTAGGGAGGTGAAAGCAAAGGCAAAGAAAACCAAATGTTTATATTTCCCTGCTCTGAAGTCTTAAGAGTTCCTGTGCTTCGTTAGTGCTGCGCGCCCCCTGCTGGCCCAGAGCTCCTCTGCAGGGAGGTTTTTGTCTAGGCTCATGCTGAAGTCCCCTCACTGTGCCTCTTGCACAGTAATATGTGGCTGTGTCCTCAGTGGTCACAGAGTTCAGCTGCAGGAAGAACTGGTTCTTGGTTGTGTCTCTGGTGATGGAGATGCGGCTCTTGACGGATGGGTTGTAGCTGTTACCACCATCATATCTTATGCCACCCATCCACTCCAGCTTGTTCCCTGGGAACTGCCTGATCCAGCTCCACCTATAAACACACATGGGGC